GCTTGAAAGATAGAAAAAATGAAAATTTAAAAATTTTGAAATGACCTTGACCTTTGACCTTGAACAAATATTCAAGGTCAAAGGTCAAGGGTCACAATGCACTTGACCCTATGCCTCTATGACTTTTCGTTTTAAAGTTATAAGGTTTAATAATAAGCGCAGAGACGTTAAAGGGGCATAACTCATATAAGGGTTCATCGGATACTTTCGCACTGAATAGATTGAAGTTGTGTGTAAAGACCCTGAAGACATTGGTGAAGGTTTTGTGTCACTATGGTTTACGGTTTCGGAGGAGTAGCGATAACAAGGTTTTCAGTAAAAGGGGCAATAACTCTTAAAGGGGTGAATCTTAGGGGACAAGCATGAAATATTTGAAATAGTTTTAAGAGGACATATTAATGATGCAAAGATACTTAGTATACATTGAAAGACAAAAGAGATATAAAAAGAGCTTAATTTCTCATATTTTGAATGACCTTGACCTTTGACCTTGACATAAATTTCAAGGTCTGAGGTCAAAAAATCTTATCCAGTTGGTTTCATGTCTCTACGACTTATCGTTTTGAAAAAAAATTATTATTTGTAAACTTCAAAAACTTTCAGGGGCAATAACTCATAAAAGGGGTCCACGAATACTTTCGCAATGAAAAGATTGAAGAGTCTCCTCAATCAGTCGAAGACATTGGTGAAGGTTTCGTACCTCTACGGTTTACGGTTTCGAAGGAGTAGCGATAACAAGCTTTTATTGCAAAAGGGGTAATAACTCTTAGAGGGGTCATAGTTCATGTACGCAGGGTCAACTGTAACAATCTTTTAAAGAGTACATTCTTATAGACTATAAATCTTTTTGATATATCTTGAAACATAGAATCACATCAGGGGGTGGAAAAATAATAATAATAATAATAATAAACAGAAGAACATCAATAGGTCTTTACACAGAAAGGTGGAAAGACCTAATAATAATAAATAGAAGAAAATCAATAGGTCTTTCCACAGGAAGGTGGAAAGACCTAATAAACAGAAGAAAATCAATAGGTCTTTCCACAGAAAGGTGGAAAGACCTAATAAACAGAAGAATATCAATAGGTCTTTCCACAGAAAGGTGGAAAGACCTAATAATAAACAGAAGAAAATCAATAGGACTTTCCACAGAAAGGTGGAAAGCCCTAATAATATGTGTCGAAAGATGAGAGAGGCATAAAAAGTTCATGTTTTAAATGACCTTGACCTTTGACCTTGACTTAAATTTCAAGGTCAAAGTCTCTAAAGTAGTCGAAGACACCGTTGAAGGTTTCGCATCTCTACGGTCAATGGTTTCGGAGGAGTAGCGATAACAAGGTTTTTCGCACAAGGGCAAGAACTGTTTAACACGTCAGGCTCTACGGGTTAAAAAGAAAAATTTGAAAACAGTTTTATAAGGACATTTGATATATTTGATGTTATGTAATATATGTTGTAAGACAAAAGAGATATAAAAGAAGCTATAATTCTCATATTCAGAGTGACCTTGACCTTTGACCTTGAACAAATTTTGAAGGTCAAATGATGAAAAATCCAATGCAGTTGGTTTTGTGTCTCTACGATTAATTGTTTTAAATTTTTTCATCATACGTAAAGAACAAAAACTTTCAGGGGGCAATAACTCATCAAAGTGCTCAATCTATCATTCCGCAATGCAAGATCGAAAAGTCTTCTCGAGTAGTCGAAGACATCGGTGAAGGTTTTGTAACTCTACGGTTTACGGTTTCTGAGGAGTAGCGATAACAAGCTTTTATCGCGAAAGGGTTCATAACTTTTTGAGGGTTTAAAGTTCATATACGCAGGGTCAACTGCAAAACTCTTTTACAAAGTACATTCTTGTGGACTATATATCTTTTCGACAAATCTTAAAACTAAAAAATCACACGGCGGAAAAATAATAAAAAATAATAAGAAACAGAAGAAAATCAATAGGTCTTTCCACAGAAAGGTGGAAAGACCTAATAATAATAAACAGAACAATTTCAATAGGTCTTTCCACAGAAAGGTGGAAAGACCTAATAAGAAACAGTAGAATCACTATAGGTCTTCCGTTGAAAACGGAAGACCTAAAAAGAAATACTGAAAGCAATATTAACTTTCTATTTTTTATTTGAGAGATTCGGTAAAAAATCAAAATGCAGTTTATGGGGAATTTTAATGTGTTTTCAATGTTGCTTTTTATCATAAATGTTGATAGAATAAAACAATTATTTGATATGATACTTTACTTGATCAGGGTATAAATTAAAATCCCAAGGCATAAGGAGAATCTCTCTTTTTTAAGTGATTAAGATCTTATGAAGGTTGATTTCAAACCATTTAAAAATCTTAAATAAAATATAGAACAAATACAAAGAAACTAAAAAAAAGACCAACTAATTCCTCGAAGTTCTTGATTTTTTTCGTTTGCCCTATCTTGACAAGGGACACAAAACAGATCTTACAGGTCGACGGGGCATACTCACGCATCTATGTAATCTAAACCCACTTTTCATTTTAGAGGTTTGGCTTGCTCTGGAAAAATATGCACTGTTTGTCTGGACTTCTGCAAATAATTTCTTTATGTAATTTTCACACTTCATTGACAAGGGAATTGTTTTGCTCATTAAAGGATGTCATTAAAAGTAATTACGTATTGTGTAAATGCTAATGGATATAATTTAAAATGAAGCAGGGGTCAATATCTATGAATATCAGCTGAACAAACATCTTGTGAAAATAAATACATTAGTAAATGATTCCCTGTACATTAAAAAATATTGTAAGATTTAATTATTTTCAAAATCATTAACCAAACTCAGAATGGGAAAAAAATCTTAATCCTGCGTAACTTGTATAACAAAGAACGTAAAGTACAAAGCGATGCATTTACAACTAAAAGTTGACTCTTGAATTGAGGAAACAAATTAACCAGCTGCTCATTTGTCAATATGTCACATATTAATTGAATGACTCCAAAGAATGTCCCACGATTCCAATAGTATGTGTTTACATTTGTTTTGTTTTAAAATAATTCTCTAATTCCTAGCATTCTTTCAACCAATTAAAGAACAAGGAAAACATACTTTATATGTAGTAGTGAAACCATCCGTGAAATGTCCAAAACAGTTTAGAATGAGTGATCCCGGCATTTGTTCAATAATCAACATTAGTACACAGAAAAGGGCGTGCAGGTCCGTAAAATTCTGTTCATGGAACACTAAAATACAAAGTTCTCAAACAAAATTTTGAACAAGAAAATATAAACATAACGGAAACTTTTCCACATTTTTATCACAATTCACATCTAAAAAAGTACTATAATAACTGCAATGCAAAAATTAATATTATTGTGTACTGTAGTGAAATGCAGATTACTTAGCATTTCTACATGTACAATGGGTTTTGAAAGAACATAGTTTCTTGTCAAAAACAATATATCTAAATATATTGAATAGCTAATACTATGAAACGTAGCTCTTAATATGAGGGTTTTTTATGCAAACATCTCCAAGCAAAGGTTAAATATTCAATCTATGATCTTTTAAATGACAAATGTTAAAAGGTTAAGAAAACATATGAAGGGCTAATGGATGAAAAATAAATGTCATTAAGAGTTAGGTGACGTTTTCAGATATAATATGGTAAAGTCCTTGTTATTTTTTTTTTTTTTATCAAGGAATGAAAGTAGTTGAACAAATTGAAGTTAATTCAGTTCAAAGTTATGAAACTAATAAAGTTTATTAAGATAAGTAATAAAATCTACTGTACATATGGAATTTTTAGCGAGTGGTATATTTAAGAAATGAAGTCCGCGTTATCTTGAATGTTGCAGGATAACCTCCGAGGTCGAGAAATGTTGTCTAAAATATAAAAGCCGAGGCGTTAGCCGAGGCTTTTATATTTCAGACAACATTTCGAGACCGAGGACGTTATCCTGCATCATTCACGACAACAAGGACTTTATTTCAATTCTACTAACGGCTCTAAAATACAGTTGATCGTTTTCTTTATAGAGAAACGAATTAGGTCACCATGTCGCAATTTCGCTGTTCCATTTAACACCAGAGGGTCAATCGACTGCATAAAATGCAGACGATTTCAGCTTTTGCTGGTTTAAAAATATCCTTTAATTATTTATGCTTGTAACATATAATAAATAATTTTTATGAATGAAAAATAACAAAACCAGTTGTCTATTTCATTGATTTATCAGTAAAATCACGGGAGTGTAAATGTTGTGGGGAGGTCCGTAGAACAGCCCCACTTGGCTATAAAAACGGATATTTATCAGCTGCTTCAGGCAATACACATGTTTAGACTGCGGAAGACGACACATCGATGTGGTCTATATAAGTATTAGATTATACAGTGAAATATTTATTACAACTGTACAGATTTGACATGCGCATGTGAGTTAAGGCTGGGTATAGGCGTTTCTATGCAAATGAGCTAATAAAAACGCATAAGAGGTATACTTATTATTCAGAGAAAGTTTTGATTTATTTTCTTATGCATACTTAGTACCCAAGATATGTTATAGCCAGTACACATTATGACGTCATATTATGACGTCATTGTTCTTACCTACTTGATGTTATAAAACATATCAACAAAACAGCTTCGGCGCAAGGGATTACCTTATTTAATTTTACATAGAAATTGTGTAATGGTAAGAAGAATATTCTATAGATTAATAAAACTACTGCACAAATCCTACGCATTTTCTCATTACCCTAATGTAGATTTTCCGTAAGATCCGTGGAATTCCATAACAAATTCCGTGGAATTCCATGGAAAAAGTATTCCATGGAATTCCAAGGAATTCTCAAGAGTATTGGGACGGAACTTTTTCGGAATGGTATGGAATTTCAAATCTAGCCTGGAAAAGAGCGGAACAATGCCAGAATAGAAATTTGCGGAAATAGCTGGAAATCCATGGAATTCCAGGATATTTGGAAATCTATGGAATTCCAGGAAAATACAAAAAACTGGAATAATCAAAATAATTTAAGGGCCAAATAATTACAACAAAAATGATAACATCACAATTTTTCATAAATCAAATCTATATTTTCAAAATAAAAAAAATATTTTTGCTGTACAATGTGTTTGGGGACAAATGTTGCATACACACTTCTATGTATAATGTAAGCACAAATTTTAAAAAGTATTATCACTGAAAGTATTTTACATCAAAGGTTATTTAAACAATGTTAAAAATCCACAGAAAAATATCATTACTGGATGATCACCTTGGTTTAATTAATGAGAATTATTATAATATACATGCATGTACATGTAGTAAATTACAGTCTGCATGAGAAACAAATGACTTTTGGTTAAAGAAAATCCTTTGTACCTAATCTCAAACATATGACATTTTTTTGATAATAAAACAAAATAGATTTTAAAAAAAACCCATTAATTATGACCTTTTGCTTCATTAAATGACCTTGGAAAAGGTCACTAAAGCCTTAACAGGGTATATTTGCAACATTTGTATACAGTTACAATGATCTTCCAGTGGTCCATATACATTTACCATACAAAGTTAATGACTAGAGTGACAAACATAGGTATTAAGTACACAAATATCTACTACACAACTATATTTGGAAGATCCCATAAAATCAACACATGCTATTTTTTCCCCCAACATGCCCCAAGATCCTACTTCTGAAGTGTTGGCTAGAATCACTTCCTCACTGGTTCTGCTAGAGAGTGGTCAGATAATTGGTGTCACGAATGGATTCACTTTTGGTACGACGGCTTCAAAAGCTCAGCAAGTTTGATGTTGATCATTCCCACACTTCAAACTTTTCTTGCTCAATTTCTGAAAGAAAAGATTACCATAAAGATGTATGATATCTACAAATTGTTGATATCCAATGGAAGGCCTTCTCACAAGGAAACACCTAATGAAGTATGAAAGCCAAACCTGAATCCCCTTCACTCAAGGATGTTTTGTGACAAGTTTGGTTGATCCTATGGTTCTGAGAAGTCAAAAATGTAACACCAGACACTGATCAGAAAACTCACTTGAGCCTTGAGCTCAGGTGAGCTAAAAAGAAAAGGTTAGAACTAAAGTGTATAAATAAAGAGACATGATTGTGTCTAAGTTAATTAACCTTGAATATGAGAGAGAACATTGTAAATTACATAAACTATGTACCCTTAAAAACATTCAGCAAATAAAGTTAAGGTATGAAAAAAGGTACATGCACATTAGTAAATATAATTTATATACCATATAAAACATTCAGTTTTGCCTTGTCAATGGGTCGTCTTTTGTCTCTTAAGCTTCTGATTAAAAGCACCCTGAACAGGAGTTTGGACGCCTATGCTGCCTTTGATGTATTATCCTCCATATTTGCAAAATCTGTTAACTGACCCTTGAAAAGAGGAAAAGACGAATTTATATGCATATGTAGTTGCTTTAAATGCATATTGGCATATTTACAATGTAACAAAAATATAGACAAAGCAAATAACATAAAGTGAATATATAGAATACATTTGTTCTACTGGCTTCAAACATGCAAATACATGTACATATTTTTTTTTTTGAAAAATTAAGGAAATATTAAATAAACTGTTATAAATACATGTAACTTCCATGCATCAACAATTCAGTATTGAAATTAAAAAAATATTTGAAAGAGTGATGTCTAATGTTTATAATAACTGGCTAACATTGATAAACACATAATTTCAATTCTTTTGATTTTATTGATTAGGAAAATGATTAAAAAATCTGACCTTTGTGTAAATTTCCATACAGCTCTGAGCTCTTGTCCTTTTTGTGAGCATTCCTGTAAATAATGCATGCATAATTTTATGTCATAGAGTATAGTCATTTTTAATATTTCAGGGATAGACATTTAACTTTCAGATTCACTTGTCCTTTGGGCAAGTGATCCCAAACTTTGACTTGTCCAAATGCAAAACTTGGTTGCCCACAATTAGGAAAGAATTTAAGAAGAAAATTATTAATTACTGTAAACGTTATGATAAGAAAAAAAAGAGGCTGCCAACATTGAGCATGGAAGAGAATTCCATAATATCACTGCATGGGGGGGAGCTTTATTTAAATTATCTGTGCAAGCACTAAAGGTCTGAAAGTAAGGAAGTCTTGAAATGCCTTTGTTGGTGGTAGTCTGTGAAACTAAATAGAGGCTTGGGTCTACCGCAACTAAGCTGTGCACAACTTTATATCATATAGAGCATTATTAGTCTACCACGTTTCTTCTGCCTTGTAAACATGGTAAAAATAGCCAATTTAGATGTTGCATCATGTTGGAGACACTAATAGTGTTATGATGTGTGTGTACGATGTAACATGGACTGTCGTGGCGCAATTGGCAACGTGCCACTCGCATATATAGCGAGGTTTAAGGCATGTACGAACGGGAGGAAATTCGGGTTGAAATCCACACATTGTTCAAACATATTTTGATAAGCGATGTTTAGAGTTGTACTGACTTGTACAATAATTATAATACAGAAATGAAACTGCGCTCGCCCTAATGGTTTCACCGTCGGGCATTCTATGTGTGTGATGCCCAGACTGAGGAACAGTAGCAGAAGCAATTATCCATTCAACTTCAAGGACACATAAAATACTGTACATTGTACCTACCAGGTCTTAAAATGTCTGCATCTTTTGTCAAAATACAAATTCCATTCCAAGCTAATGATGACAGCAGTTCCCTTCTTCGTGGCACTCTCTTTCCTTCTGTCCAACAGTACAACATGGCAGCCGAATTGTTGAATTTTGGCGGGCTGTTGTTTAAATTAATTGTTCATCGAGCCCGACATCGATCCCGACGTAATTGTACTATGAGCCGACAGTTTAAGAAAAAATTCTAAGTTATTTTCCACAGCTTTCCAGAGCAGAAAATGTCTAAGTTTCTCATTTCATCAGCTTTTCCATAGATTTTCACAACTTTCCAAGCCTCAAAATGTCTAAGTCCAAATTTGTTATTCAAATTCCAAAAGATTCCAAAAACTTCCAAAAACACTTTTAGACTCTTGTATGGAAATGTTTGGAATTCCATGGAATTCCAAAACTTTTCCAAACCCTTTGGAAAATCTACATTAGGGTTGATCGGAATTTGAGGAAACATATACGGGACTGTACATTTTTACCCTGATTCAACTTAAAACTTTTCAAATAGAAATTATACAACTGAGCTGTTGATATTTGTGCAGCGATACTAGCAATCTTTGTGATATTTTGCTTCTAAATAATTACCTTGTTTCAGTTAAATAAAATAGAGCATGCCCTTGTGCCGAAGCATTTTTGTTGATGTCCATTATAATTTTGTGTAGTAAAAAACAATGACGTCATAATGTGTACTGGCTATCTCATGTCGTGGGTACCAAGTATGTATTGACAATAAGTTTTAACTTTCCCCTTATAATAGATATAGTCCTTAGACATTTTAATTAGTTTATTTGCATAGAAATGCCTATACCTAGCCTTAACTCACCTGCGGTGTTTCTGATCTGATAATATTTTGATGACGTTCGTGATTTATTGGAGAATAATGACCGCGGCATTTCTTTGATCTCGGCAATAATCGTAGTAGAATTAGCGATAAGTCATGAAATACTGTAAATAACTTTTGCGAGAAATAATTTTAGCGAATTTTTGTTGCCTAGAAATATAACAGTGACCTATACTGTAGGAAAAAAAAGTTTTAGCGATTTTAGATTTTTGCGATCTCATCAGCCTTGCTAAATGTACCAAAAATTAATCTCACATCTTAAGATTGAAATCTATCAAAAAAACAGCATACGCTAAAATGTTTACTAATATGGTATAATACTGCATACAAGCTATATGTACACAATAATATTAGCAATAATTATTGCATATCATAGTTAAGTTTAATTTCTTCTTTTGTGAGATTTAACTTTACAAGCATCACTTCTTATTCAAATATAAATGTGTAAGCCTAGTTCATTATTTTACCAACTGTGGAATCATCAAAATTTGCGGGCCGGGGCCAAGTTCCTTGGATAGCTTAAACTATACAGGCTCGTGGGGACGTAATTTCATGTATTCACTCATATCTGCAAAAGGAAATTACTTCAAAACCGCTGTGCATTGATTCGTGGAGGATGTACATTCATATCTTTCTCAACCCGTGGTGCAAGGGTTTGTGTCTAGTTAAATGTGGTATTTTTATGAATACCATCAGTTTTCTTTTAATTTTTTTGTGATGAAAATGCTGTTTTTATTTATAAGATCAGTACAAAAATTTAGGAAATAGTTAATAATATATATGTTTGCTTGAATTTAACACGTATCCGTTTCACTCTACGACAGATTAGCAGTACCAATCCATTGGTTGTTAAAGGTTGTTAAAAATGCCTGCCCTAGTCATAAATAAGAAAGATATCTGTGCATAATTTTTAGGATAATACTTAATTTTACACTCTACATATCAGGAATTGAGCTGGCTCTAAATAAATGAAACTTTATCATTTGATTATGATCAAAAGACTTTTTTGGCTATCGTTGGTAATACAATGTACTTAAATATTAAAATGTATTTAGATCATCAAACTTTTAATATGTTGTACATCTTCCTTAAACTTAAAAGCTATAAACTATTAAAAAAAAAGGAAGTGAAAAAAATTCTCGTGTTTTTATTTGTGATGCTGAGTACGAAAGCCTTAATAAAAAGAAGTAAAACATTTCATATGATGAATTTTCAAATTTAAGAGAATGAAAAATGTGATGATAATGAACAGTAATCGATCTCAAATATTCAACGAAAATACAAAGCTGTGAAATGTGTGTAAATTACAAATATTAAGTCATGTGTCTAGGAGTAGCAAGCATTCCTTCTTGACCCGCCATACCCACAGTGAGGCCTTTGCATTGATCAGGTAGACGGAACATTCCGAAATAAAATCTAATTTCAAAGCAAAGGTCTGACGATTGATATATATATATATAGTGAAATTGTAGTAAAAGTCCACGGTATAGGTAGGTTATAAATTAAAATAAAATCCAAGATAAACAAACAAGTTCACATTTAATTATTACACTAAGCGCTTTCGCCGTGAGGCTCTTCAGAGTGTAACATAGTTTATAAAAACAATACAACTTGGTTGTTATGACGTCGTTATTGTGACGTCATAAAGGCCGCATTATATATAGGCGCAGGTAAATGTCATTAGGGCGCCAAAAGTAGAGAATTGAACATATGTACATTGTGATGAAATACCTGCGCCTATATATAATGCTGCCTTTATGACGTCACAACAACGACGTCATAACAACCAAATTGTATTGTTTTTATAAACTATGTTACACTCTGAAGAGCCTCACGGCGAAAGCACTTAGTGTAATAATTAAATGTGAACTTGTTTGTTTATCTTGGATTTTATTTTAATTTATATATATATATATATATATATATATATATATATATATATATATATATATATATATATATATATATATATATATATATATATATATATATATATATATGAAAGACCTCAGACAAAGTAACACACACTGATAGAATATGTTTAATAAAGTCATTGAAACTACCATAAGATTTTAAAAAAATGTTGATGTTTTGCGATGTTGTTGAAATTCAGGTAACATCAACTTTTCTGTCATTAGCCTGCTTCGAAAAGTGAAAATTGAACGTACTTAGATCATGCTCTCAATTATCGATTGTGTTGGGATACTGAAACACCCTGTACAACTGATAGTGGAATATAACTACGTAAGAAAGGGAAGATGATCAAGATGAATTAGCCCTGTAAAGATAATTTAGCCGACAGCTGTAGTAAAAATAACTTTTGACAAAAATAATTGGTAGAATTATTGATTGATCTTAAAAGGCATTTAACAATTACTTTACTATAAGGCAACTTTTATTTGCCTTGAGATTTATCTGCTACACTTTCTTATACAAGAAAATATTTCTCACTGCAAAGCATTTGCCCTGCCGCGAATATCATGACTCACTGAGGGATTTCAAAATAAAGAAGGTGTTTCCAAAGTTCAGTTTCTTTGCAGAAACTACAGTTGATTGAATTGGTTATGAGTACAAAAATAAATCTGGTATGGGCCCATGAACAATTGAACGTTGTCCAAGAAGTTTTCATACTAGAATATTTCTGTCCTTTATGTAGAAGTATGTCTTTTTTTTTTATTTCTGAAAAAAAAAAAAAAAAAAAACTATAAAAATTTGGAAAAAAAAAACAATAAACAAACAAACAAAAAAAAAAAAAAAAATAAAGGAAATATCGAAGATCTATTCAATATATGGAGAGAATAAAACCCGGGAAGTTCCTGTCATTATACCCGCACTTTCTAAAGAAAATTCGGGTATATTGTTGTTACTCATGTCTGTCCGTCCGTCCGTCCGTCTGTCACACTTTTCTTTCTCAAACTACTCTTACATTTTACAGAGTAGCCTAATCATCTTTTGGGAGATGGTTGGTGGTGTCATGTAGATGTGCAGTAAGGTTTCGGAATTTTCTTTTTCACCCTGGGGGTCAAATGGGGGTCGAAAAATGACGTTTTTTATGCAAAAAGCCCCTGGTTCCCTGAACTCCTCTTACATTTTACACAGTAGCCTAATCATCTTTTGGGAGTTGGTTGGTGGTGTCATGTAGATGTGCAGTAAGGTTTCGGAATTTTCATTTTCACCCTTGGGGTCAAATGGGGGTCGAAAAATGACGTTTTTTATGCATAAAGCCCCTGGTTCCCTGAACTCCTCTTACATTTTACATAGTAGCCTAATCATCTTTTGGGAGTTGGTTGGTGGTGTCATGTAGATGTGCAGTAAGGTTTCGGAATTTTCATTTTCACCCTTGGGGTCAAATGGGGGTCAAAAAATGACGTTTTTTATGCAAAAAGCCCCTGGTTCCCTGAACTCCTCTTACATTTTACACAGTAGCCTAATCATCTTTTGATAGATGGTTGGTAGTGTCATGTAGATGTGCAGTAAGGTTTCGGAATTTTCATTTTCACCCTTGGGGTCAAATGGGGGTCGAAAAATGACGTTTTTTATGCAAAAAGCCCCTGGTTCCCTGAACTCCTCTTACATTTTACACAGTAGCCTAATCATCTTTTGACAGATGGTTGGTGGTGTCATGTAGATGTGCAGTAAGGTTTCGGAATTTTCATTTTCACCCTTGGGGTCAAATGGGGGTCGAAAAATGACGTTTTTTATGCAAAAAGCCCCTGGTTCCCTGAACTCCTCTTACATTTTACACAGTAGCCTAATCATCTTTTGACAGATGGTTGGTGGTGTCATGTAGATGTGCAGTAAGGTTGCGGAATTTTCATTTTCACCCTTGGGGTCAAATGGGGGTAAAAAAAAAGACGTTTTTTATACAAAAAGACCCTGGTTCCCAGAACTCCTCCTACATTTTACACAAGAGGCCCATTGGCCACAACACTCACCGAGTCAATATGGCTCTGCTGTTCTTCATCAGCAGATTTCTTCTCCTACATATTCAAATATAAAGCTTTGATTGCCTGTTCTAGGCATACCCTACCCCCAGGTGCCATGTTTTGAATGAAATTGAATATAAACCTTCTGAGGATGCTGCTTTATTCATATAACCAATCATGGTTTTGCTGTTCTTTAAAATGGAATTTTAAATATGTTTGAAACCCTACCCTGGGGGGGGGGGGGGTCCATGATTTGAACAAACTTGTTTGTACACTACCTGAGGATACTTCCATATCAAAATGACTAATCATGGCTTTGTTTTTCTTGAG